CACTAGGCCAGCTGAACTGTTCGTTGAACTATTCTGTCAAGCGACCGAGTCGTTGATCCCTATTGTGAATAGCTTGCCCCATCTGATCACAGACTGTTTCGATAACTGGAGTTCGCCGACCTCCCGTATTGCGTATCAGTCGGAACAGTCTTTGACTATTCCCTGATGTAGCCGCTACTTCCATTTCACTAGCTATTGTTGCCCACCAGTTCTCACGGTTCTTCTTGAGGCTCTTCGTGAGCTGGCGTTGCATATGCCACCTAACTCTATTTTGATCCTGGCAGGTCGGGTGTTGTAGCTTTTTCTCCATCAAAACTACTGACTCCTGAGATATCCAATGCCTCCGACGGGTTTGAGGCTCAGATTCACAAGCAACATTCGTTGCGGAATGCATCGCTCGCCTAATCTTATCCCAGTGCTTATCCACATCACCATGTTGAGGTGCGCTTAGCTCACACGAACTGCTGGAACAGATAGTCGATGATGAGCTGTACGAGTGTGCTGATTTCGGAGAGTAAACTGCATCAAAACTAATGCGTGGTCAGAATCAACGCAGTTGGTCCCAAAGGACCTGCAATTTTGTACTGAGCCACGCCAACGGTAGCTTACTGCTATGTGGTCCATTTCAGTTGGCGTACCAGTTGAACTGGAGCATCATGTTGCCGTCCGTCGAGAGCTGTGTCGAAAGTTGATACTGGATAGGAACAGATGATGATCTGCACATAACTGAAGAAGTCGATCGCTCTTATCTGTTCGATGGCAGGGCAGAGCACAACTAGCGCCTAGGGTAGCTTATGATGCGCTCAGTTCTCCAACCTGCGCGTTGAAGTCACCTGCAAGTACAACTATATCGGAGCTTCGACTCATCCGAATGAGATTGGTGAGTTCGTCGTAGAAGGCGTCCTTTTGGGTATCAGAAATGCCATTGATTGGTGCATCCGCTGATATGATGAACAAACACCTTTTGGTGTTGCTTCACTTCCGGACGCTGATCGAACCCTGGAGACGCATTGCACATAAACGATTGTTGTCGGGGATCCAATTGACAAGAGAGGACTCAGCCCTGTTACTGAGAAAAATACCTACCCCGCGCTGACCCATTGGGCGGGCTTTGTCGTCGCCTGATGTGCGAAGAACGTATCTCGAAGACAAATCTGGCGCGCTCAAGTGGCTTACAGTAGTAGGATCCTGAATTCAAGTCTACAACACGCAGCAAATATCGGCCCCTAAGGATTACATTGTGCACGCCAGGCAAGCTTGTTGACCTACCTGCATAAGTCCTCGCGTGGAAGGCCATAGAATCAGTCAGTGATTGACGAGGCTTTAGAATCTGCAATTCACTTCGTGGAAAAATTACTTGCAGCGCTATTTGACAACAACCTTTGGCGAGAAATATCCAAGTTGCTTGAGGGACTATTACAATTCGAAAGAAGGGGAATATGGAGAGGGATGGGTAAGGAAGAAAAAGAATTGAACAACGGTTGAGATACCTGGGCAGTAGCCCACTTATTACTACCCACCTCACTTGATGCAATGGGCAGCGCGATCCTGATTATCCCGCGCGATGACCGATGCAGTAAGGAATTATTTTTTGTTCATGCCTTGGGGTTTGATGGACGAGTAATGCCAGGGTGTCCAGCCACTAAGCAGGAGAACGATTAGCGTTCTCGTCCAAAGCCCTTAGGTCTAACAAGAACCTAACCGCAAGGCAGAGGGTGAAGCGAAGTGGAGGCCCATTCACTTGGATAGCTTATTCCTACACCATTTGTTACCGACTGAAACGCAAATTCCAGTCGAACCCCCAACCTGGAGGACCAGGAGACTGAACTTCGTCTGACTACCCATTGACCTTCCAGGTACGATAAGATCTCCAGACAAAAGTCATCTTGTGTAGCTAGTTGGGTCACAGGGGTGCACAAGCCATCACATCAGTCTCATCGTGACAGCAAACATCCAGGTTAGTTAACNCCTCACTCGATGCAATGGGCAGTGTGTCATGATTATCCTGCTCGATGACCTATGAAGTATGGAATTCCTTTTTTGTTTGTATATGCATTAGATTTTCATGGATGGATACTAATAGGGTGTCCAGCCACTAAGCAGAACGATTAGGGTCGTCATCCAAAGCCTTTAGTTCTGACAAGAGCCTAACCACAAGGCAGCGGGAGAAGCGAAGTGGAGGCCTATTTGCTTGAATCGATTACTCCTACACCATTTTTCACCGACTGAAACGCAAATTCTAGTCAAACCCC